TGTGATTTACGAGAACGCGAGAACAACCCAATAACCTCAAACTTTTTAATTAATAAATTAACTTTTATTATATATATACATAATTTAATAAGGACAATAATATAATTAAGTAATTTTTATAATTTTTATTTTATTTTAATTAACCATAATTATCCTTTCACGTTCCACGTTTTACTCTTGGTAGTTTTTTTCTTCTCCTTCGTTCATGCTTCTTCTCCTTCTCGTTCATGATAATCTCCAGATAGTCGATGGCTTAACATCTTTTCTTCATATCACACCCCTATCACATAAGTATCACACCCATATCACATGATTATCACACCCATATTACATTATTACAACAAAATTTTAATTTATCAACCAAAACGATAACCCAAGTGATGTATAACAGTGATTATCACACACCTATCACATGATTATCACACCCAAATCACATGATGACACCAAAATTTTAACTTATCAACCAAAACGTTAACCCAAGTGATGTATAACGGTGATTATCACACCCCTATCACATAAGTATCACACCCATATCATATGATTACACCAAAATCTTAACTTATCAACCAAAAACGATAACCCAAGTGATGTATAATGGTGATTATCACACCCCTATCACATGATTACACCAAAATTTTAACTTATTAACCAAAACGATAACCCAAGTGATGTATAATGGTGATTATCACACCCCTATCACATGATTATCACACCCATATCATATGATTATCACACCTAGTATAATCCTAACCTATCGAAACCATTCGAAATCGTTGTGATAATGTCTAAAATAACCAATTTACTAGATAATGATAAGGCTAATGATAAACACCGTTCGAAATCGTTGCTTCCGTCGGTTGTTTTTGCGATTTGAAGTTATGAGTCTCCTTGAATTCGTAACCATTTACTAGATAATGATAAGACTAATGATAATAACGATCGTGTTTAAAAGATTTGATGATATCATTTTCATTATTACCCTTTTAATTTTAAATTTTTTTGAATCTTTTTCAATTTCAGTTTTAATTTTAAAAATCTTTTAATTTTATTTTTTATCACAATATGTGGTTATTGGGTTGTTCTCGCGTTCTTGTAAATCACATGAGTTCTCGTTTGAACCCTTCCTTATATATATATATATATGGACACGTCTAAATGAGAAAACGATCTATTTAAAACAAACGCAAGAATTGGTAAACCACATGTATTTTTCACATCACATATGGTATATTACACATCCAAACCGTGAGGACGAAACATGTTGCACACGTTAATTTTCACGTGACCTTGGTCGCTTTGACCAATCGTCCTCATCCTTCTAAACGTCTAATAAATCACATAAAATTTGATCATTTTTGCATCATCATAAGTTAACCGTCTTCTCGTTTGATTTTCCTTTCTATCGATATATTGTTATGTTAGGAGGGTAAGATAGTAATTTAATATTTTTTTCCAAGGTTGTTCCACTTTTTTAAATGAAATAAAAAAAACTCTATCTTTGTTCGATGAATTCTTGCCCCAAACTTGTACAACCTTTTTCTTGTTCCATGTTAGGCCAACACACAAGACAAAGTATCTCATGTAATTCAAATGTAGTTATGTACATGTAAGCAGTGATTATATGTTTGTATCATTAAACCGAATAACGAGCAATCAAACATTGTAATTCTATGTAGATACGTTTAGAGATTTTTTCTTGAAAATGAAACATTTGTCAAATCATTGTATGTTTGTTTGATAATTGATTACATTATTTTCATTGGATTTTATTTAAATAAACTAACATAAAACTACAAACTCGAGACAACAAGTAATATTGGTGTACAAACTATAGAACATACTGCAAGTATAGAAGGTCAACAAGTAATATCTATGTGTAACATCCTGTTTTACGTCCCATACAATAAAAGTGTTGAACCAGTTAAGAAAAACCAAAATTTAGAGTCCGACTATAGTGCTCATGTATTAATGACGAATGTTATTATAGCGCATTGGTGGTATCGAAAACATGGTTGTCCGGGCTATTTTACCCACACGATCGTGGCATTGGCTTGATAGCTAGCACGATGGTGCTGATGGTACCAAGAAAATGGTTGTCCGGGCTATAGGGCTCCCACGATCATGACATTTGCATGATAGCGGGTATGATAACCAGCGGGCCTTGGAGTATAAAAGGTCGGGTTTAGGGTTAGGGCTTGTCATTTTTCTTCGTCTCCATTTCTCTCTCAATCAAATCGATTTTGGTCACTTTTGTCCACCGATTTTCGGGCATGATAGCAAGCTGTTTGGCTGTTCTCACTTTTTCCATGTATTAATACCTTGATCTCAGTCATCAATGAAAGGCTTTTATTGATAGATAGTTAGGATGGAGATGATGAGATGAATGTGAATGTGATCTTGAAGCAATAGGTCAAATTCACTCTAGTAAGTATGTCGATGAATGTCATATGCTATCGGTACAAGTGAAGATGATGTCATTTTTATGCTCAGATGTGTTTCAAGAGCATATCTTGAATGTCATAACCCGACCAACCCAACCCACATAGATTAGGTTCAACTGGGTCATGCTAACGGTTTGAGTATTATCAAATCGTAGCAGTTTGAAATGGATTGTCAAAAATACCTTTAGACCGTCAAACCCAACCCATGTGCAGTACTGAGGAAGAAGTCATTGCAAGTACAAGAAGTACAGAAACTAGATTATTCAAAGTTATAGATAACAAACAAACCAAGAGGTTTATTAACCTAAGACCATTTTTGCTACAAACTTACACCCAACAGCAGTTACTTGAAACAAACAACTTTATTCACCCTTTATATATAATGCTGCCTGCCTGCCTGCCAGCCATATCCCTCAACATATCATCAACTTCACTCACCCTACAACAATCATATGAGCAATTAGTATTTCTTTTAGGCTAATCCCCCTTTTCGAGATGATCCCAATCTTACGATTTCGTCAGTAAAACACCAGAAAACCGTGATATATCAAAACGTCGGTCACACAGAAGAGAACATAAACCCAAGGATATCATTCCAAAAAAACGATTTGGACTACACATGATATTTGGGTCCAAGACAAGCGTGTAGTCCACTTTTTCCAAAAGACTTTCAAGGCATGATGTATCATGTAAATGCAGAATTCAGAAAGCTACTTACCAGAAAGCGTTTTTTGTACATTTGAACAACGTAATCAGGATCACATTTCGTCTCAACATAGGCATCAATCTTGTTCAGTTCCTATACTCAAGTGCTTCATAGTAAGTGCAAGAATGCGAATGGACGATGCAATGCACTCACAACATCAATCTTAACAATTAAAAAGATGGCTTCATATGCCCAATTGTCATGTATTTACATCGCCCAAAAAAAAAGTGATCTTGCATAATTTACTTCCAAAATTCAAATTCAATGTGGATGTTGTCTTTGTTATAAAGTTTATTTTAGAATCAAATTTCTCAAGAGAAGTAACCATTTTGAAGTCAAACTAAATCATTTGACCTTGAAAAGTCAAAGTCTATCTGGCTTGATTGGGAATCGATGGACTAATATTCAAAAACCCAAAAAGTGGAGATTAGGAAGGAAAAAAAAATCCTTCTTTCTAGTCATCTTATGTTTTACTGAAAGAAGAAGCAATGACAAATGACATACCTCTATCCATGTTGCTAGTTTCGGCCTGCCTGAAGTAATATCATACTTGAATACCTCTTTTAAGAATACCTGAAGCCTTTCCACAAAAGGAATATAAGCAAAGTCCACCTGCAATTCATAAGTTTGTAGCAACAATTAGTCAGTCTTCACTTGCAGTTAACTGAAAGTATTATGTCGATACTTATTTTTGGGTAACCGTGGGTGCTTGGGCCATCTTGCACACACCCCGACTAATCCCATGGGCCCCGAAGATAACAGCTAGGAAAATTCCCTGTAGCCCTAAGGAGACTCGAACAGGCAACCTTTAGGGAGGATCCCCAAGGGCTAACCTTTATCAATGGATACTTTTTTTTGGAAGGGTGTCCAGGTTATGCCTGGACTAATCCCGACAAATTGTGACTGCAAGAAATCAGCGTTGATAAACTAAGTGGCCACAGTTGACAGTTGTTTTGTACCTTGATGGGCCAAAAAGAAGGAATCTTGGAATTTTAAGTGCAGAGAAGAAAGCACTCACCAAACTGACTTCTCCAAGGAAAAAAGGACCTTCAAACTTCTGAAGAGCTGATTCCAAGTAATCAAAAGCAACACCTGATCCAGGTATCAGATCTAATCAGCTCTAGATGCAAAAAAGTTTCATGTGTTTTATATATAATACAAGGATAGGTTTAAGTCATACCAGCTTCTTTCACAGTATCTCCTTTAAAGGAAGAGAACACTGTTCCATTGAATGTGTTGGTGTACGTCAATAGATCCTCAGCAAACTCTCTTTTGGCAGGGTCCTATAAATTTTAATATGGCTGCTTGTTACAATTTCAAAAGAGGAGAGAGGGAAAAGAGGTTTCTCTATCAAACTGTAGATCTCAAATCTTACATCTGGTAGTAACGAGGGCCCTTCGAAGTGAGCATCTACATATTTCACCAAATCTAAGCTCTCTCCAATGATTTTGTTGTCATGTTCAAGAGATGGCACCTTAATAAAGAAAATATCATCAACAAACAGTATCCAGGTATCAACCATCAATAGATATAAGCATACATGCACAAACACGGTGATATAAGGAGATATATGTAAATGCTCAATAGAGATTATGATAATCCGTTTATCAAGAAAGAAAATCCTAGTTGCTTTTTTATCACATATAATGTAACAGCTAGTTGAATGTAACGAATTCTCAATTACTATAATGAAGATGTGTTGTTTTATATAAACTAATAGACTCAGCACACTCTGTACATTTTGCAATAGATATTACAAGTGTTTAGAAGTGAGAGTGTCACACATATGCAGAAACTATTAAGGACTTCCTGTTGCCTTTTGATCAGAATTCATCTAAGCATTTCATGTGCCCAATCAATAACGACCATCCAACTTGAATCTAAGGACCAACTAAAAAGACTCGATCTAATTCACAATTAATATCAATATGTTTATGTGGTGAAATAGCAGTAGTACCACCTCAAACAGATCATTTGAGTCTTGAGATACGAAAATAAATAATTTGAATAAACATAACAAAGTTGAAAAAGAACAGAAAATGGTTACAAACTGATTTAACCAGGATTAAAAAGTAGAACTTAAAACATAATATACGATATATCACAAGGATTACCTTATTTTCAGGGTAGACTTTCTCCTTATACCATGCGGGCCTATTTGCGAGGTCAATGGGAACAAGCTTGATCTTGTCTTGTAGTCCCTGCATATCAAGACCCAGATAATTAAGAAGTCGATATTAGTTTTGATACAGAGAGAATTCGGAGAGTTAACAAAGGTTTTCTTCGATCTTCGGAAAAGAAGAAAATGAGCTCGAAAGAAGCCCGAGATAGCACATCGAAAACGGGAAACAGACCCGCGCCCAAGTTTTCCAATACAGCTCCCCACCCAAATTTCATTTCTCCAAGTTACTTGCAGGTATTGTCAACATTTCGGTTTAAAAGAAAGTATAGCAAATAATCAACCAAAAGTCTTCTAGGAGATCAAACATTTATTCAAGAAATTATAGACATTTCATAATTCCTTCTACAGTTTTGTCTTTAAGCACACCCCATTAGTTGATTAACTTGCTCAAGTTTAGAAATACAATGTTTCTGTGTTTACTTTAAACATTCAGAAACAATAATCATAGCAACTTATTTTTTGGAAGGGTGTCCCACTAATCCCAGTAAATTGTGATGGTAAAGATATCAATCTCGATAAACTCAATGGCAATAATTGTTGTGAACGTTTGGAATTAAATCCAAGGTAGATGAGATATTCCACCACATACCCTGAGCCTTACCACTACGCCAGAACCCTTGTGCTTAATCCATAGCAACTTCCTATATTATATAAACCATTTCATTGACCTTCTACAAAGGCATAAAATTCCAAATCCAGAAGTTGACTCAATTTAAAAGTAAATTTACATCTCTATCAGCAACTAGGAAAGATGAATTTTGTTTTGTTTTGGGTATATTTTTTTAATAGAGTCGAATGAAAGAAAAGGTGAAAAACTAAGGTCTCCTGCCTACTTAATAAGATAAGAGACGCCCAATTCAGCTCAATTCTAAATCGTCACATGAGGTCTTATTTTATTCATCAACTACGAGAGAATCGATGGGGGTGCTTGGAAGTCGCAATTAATCAGATTCTGGTTCTAATTTTTTGAATAAAATAATCAGAAGCTACAAAGAAGCGGCTGCAACAAAACTATTTTTCACTTGTGAATATAAAATCAACTAATTATTCCTGGTCTAAACCACTTTGTTGTAGTTAATTAAGTAATTCAATAATCACCTTCGAGATCGCACAAACATCTGCTAAACCTCAAATTCAATTAAACCATAAATAATTCAATAAAGGAACTTAATCGTAAAGCACAACATAGGTTAACAAATTACCTTATAATTCCTGGTAATCCAAACACGCTGTGCAAAGGGGCATTGATAGTTGGTGTATAACCTTCCATAAACAAAATAAAACTATTATTTAGATATCCTGATCATCGCAGCAGACTAAAACCAAAAATACGTTCTAGAAGAGAAATCAAGCTCATTCAAACTTAACTAACTAATCATATGATACATACCTAGTGGTTCCGTCAAACAGAGGAGGTTGTTGAGAAGTAGAATCCAGAGGTGATGGAAGAACCTCTTTCACACTTCTATAAACCATACACCAAAATCAAAATCAAAATCATATCAAAATCAAAATTCAAATTCAAATATAAATGCATAGATAGATAGATTGATAGAGAGAGAGAGAGAGAGAGAGAGAGATGTTCTTACGAAGTTGGCATTTTCAGATGGTTCGAGAAATGAAGTTGAGGACGATGGTTTTTTTAGTACGACAAAGGCAAACCGATTTGCGAGGGGAAGGGAGTAACACGTGTATTTATAGATGGAGTATTCTGTTCAGTTTTTACTTTTTAAAAATGTAATTAGGTGTAAGTGGTGATGGTATGCCTGCGTCACCACTGACGCTTCAGTGAATGAGCAACTACAAACCGCTATCCGTCCAGATACATTTTAAGAAATTTTTGACAGATACATTCCAGATCAATCAGCCCATATCGATTAGGGGAGACCTGAACCGTATAAACCAGTATCGTAAATATTCCAGTTTATTGATTGACATTAACCCTAAGTTTATCGTAATCGATTAGTTAATGTGTTGGTTAAACGTATTCTGAAACACGAAAAAAAAATAATCATTGCCTTATTTCCAAACACATCGTAAGCTAAACGAGTGCTGACGAATGTTTACAAGTTCATTAAATTGCACTTTACAGCATGATGTACGATTTTAAATTGTGTATTTCATCCAATATTATATTAAAATGTGATAAATACTTACGTATGAACTACTTTTTGTTGACCGAGGGGCGGACACACGTTAATATCTAAAAACTTGTGAAAAAACAGTAGCCTCCTCTCTCAAATCCGCCCCTCGGCCCACTCGTAGACACTGCCGTTTAAATGTGACCACAGCAGCCATAGGCTCGCTACACCATAAGTAGGGGTGAGCATAGGCGGGTACCCGCCCTTTTTGATAGGAACCGGAACCGGAACCGGAACCGGTTAGAGCGGTTCTTAAATTTTTGGAACCGGAACCGGAACCGCCGGGAACCGGTTCCGGTTCCGGGTACCCGCTTCCTAAAATATTAAAATTTTGTTATTTAGAAATAAAAAATAAAACGTTGCCAAAACACTAAATAAATAAGCAAGAATACAAATTATATGTAGTAATGGTTACAAATATTGTTTAACGATTACAAACCATAATAGATTAATAGAAAATGTTCAAAGTTTAACGATTACATACTATAATGGTAAATTTTCAAAGTTTAACGATTACATACTATGAATCCAAGTGAACACACAATTTAAAAAAATACGAATCATTCTATATGAAGAATTTAGATGAAGAATGAAGATGACGGCGTGCTTTCAAGATGTAAACCTAATATAAATTTGGTATTAAAAAATAATAATAATTTTTTTATTTAAAAATACCGGGTACCCGGCGGGTAACGGTTCCGAAAAATTGAGAACCGGAACCGGAACCATTCTCAATCGGTTCCGTATTTTAGGAACCGGAACCGGAACCACTCATATCAGTTCTGGTTCCAGAACCGGCAGTTCCAAGACGATTCCGGTTCCATAGCCGGATACCCGGTTCCGCTGCTCACCCCTAACCATAAGTGGTTGGCCGTTACTCTAAATTCAATTTAAATGGCTTTGGTAGCAGCATAGTCGGTCCTAAGATTTTTGATGCCCTGTGCGAAAAAAAATAAAAAATGCCCTTAAGTCTATTTTTTTAAGTCAACGAAACAACGAAACATGCGATTTTTTACAGAGTTTAGAACCTATTCAAGCCAAATGTCTCATCCTCATGTTTATTTTTATTAATTATAATAAAAAAATACAAGCGGGACATAAAAATCAAAACCCCGAATACAAAATATATAATGATAAAAGGATAAATCCTGGATTAAGATTGTGCTTCCTTCTTTTCCAGTTTTCCCTTTTTCAAATTGAAACTAGCAAAATAGAAATTTTATTTTACTATATGGGACTTAAAAGACAAGGAAAACTATAAATTAGTTTTTAGCTAAAATAGTAAATTACATCCAAATTATTGTCATAATGAACAAAAAGTAAAACTCAAAAGTTACAGATCTAACGACTAAAGGCTAATGACTTATCTGTTAGCAGCTTAATAAGCTTAATGGAACTAATACGGTTAATCGGCTAGAAAGAGAACTTCATGCCCTAAAAATCGAAATAGTCGAACTTTGAAGAACAATAGATATTAGATTGAGTTGTTGGAATGATGGCATTAACTGGTTTACGATGTGCACTCAGTATTTATCATTACTAGGCCTTGGGCCTGTTTTTATAATTAAAGCTCGGTTGTTCAATTCCCAAATTATTAAACTCAAAACTAGTAATAGATAACAATTTGATGCCCCTTTAGGCTTTGATGCCCTGTGCGGCCGCACGGGCTGCACGTGGCCAGGGCTGGCCATGGGTAGCAGTAGCCCTACGTCTCACCATAAGTTATCACTAGACGACATCATGACTTCAAGTATTTATTTCTGGTTCAGTCCAATCCAGTCCAATATGCACGCCTTCAAGTTGGATGCCTTTGGTCCCGTACTGCAAGTAGTACTACTTCAAGGCTTGTAATGATGTCCCCTGGTTCCCAGAAGCTACGATCAGTAACCCGAGGATTCTTCATCAGAGTCGACCATGGAAGGGTGCTTTGCTTGCAAAACTCGGATATCTAAATCAAACTAAACAAACCCAGTATATCCGCTTAAAAATAAGACATGAAAGTTACAGACTTTACCTTTGTATAAGATGTTCCCAAAAGCGCCGCCCGACTTGCCAAATATAGTATAGGATCAATATAAACGAAGTCTAATGCTTGTTACTAGCAGTAATGATAGAAATAAGATCTGTCTGAAGTAAGAACTATAAACATTTCGTCTTTTAACAAATAAAGAAAAAAGATCACCGGAGAAAAATTCTGTTGACGACATCCACAGGCAGTGCATAAGCGGGATCAATGGCCTTTAATCCTGGATACTCAAGAAGCGAAAGACCTGCAACTCCAAAATACGTGTGGAAAACATCAACAGCATCGTCTGGCCTATCTGAAATTCCTCCCTTCTCAATATCCTGACAGTCCAAGATAAACTTAACAAGCTTTTCTTTGTCGATCCAATGAACTCTATCGATCATTATCAAGCTAGATAGCACCCACCAAGAATAGCAGACATCCGGAAGCTTCTCAGGGCGCCCGTTTAGGCCTCCGGATTTAACTTGCCTTTCACACAACCACCAACCTAAAAGATCCTTATCGACATAATGTAAAGAACCCATTATTGCAAGTGCCCCTATGCAACAAAAAATTTGACCCGCGTGAGATTCAGCACCAGGTGTGCACCCAAACCCGCCATCAAGATTCTTGCAACTTATAATGTATTTTACTGCCTTTTCTACATTGATTCTATCCAAACGATGTAGTAGTGCAAGAGAACATATGGCGACATATGAGAATCTAGTATCTATTTCGCCCCATATGTCTCCTGAAAAGGAACCATCTTCGTTTTGTAGGCTAGCTATGTAGCTCGACACTTTATCGATATCGAGTACTTCTATCTTGTCAAATAGTGCCAAAATTTGGATCGCACTAAGGGTGTAGAGTAAATGTGGATCATGCCCTTCATTACCACCAAAACCACCAGATTGGTGTTGGCAACTCATAACCCACGGAACAACCTTTTCTTGTTCCACAGCTTCAAGCTTTCCTAGGATGTCAAGTGTGGTTAATCCCCAATATGCACCGTTAATTCGGAGATGCTCCATTAGAACAGACTCAACATCATCTTTCCTCTTTTCCACCAATAAGATGTACTTGGCATGCTTTTCAGCTGCTAGATCTCCCATTCTGTGAGATAAAAAAAGGTATGAAAGGATAGTTTAGAAAAAAAAAAACTAACATAAAAGAATCCATGACGCGAAAACTATTCTAGGAGACTAAAACGTTATTTTTAAAATGTTAACGGGTCCAGATTTTGAAAGGTAAAAATAGCACAAGTCAAAGAACCTCCAACTAAACTAAATTTAACAAATGCAATTTAGTTCATATTCCAAAAAAACCCAATAGCAAACAAAACTTGGGTCTTGTAACTTGATGTGAATCACTCAACAATAATACCAACAGTTTTCACATACGTTATGATACAAGCAACTTTAGCGTACTACAACAATAACATGAAATAGGTTACCACTAAACAAATAAACCCCATTTAACTGGTTTATAATTGTTTGCCCTGTTTTGCTTTGGGTCCCAAACGCACATGAATCTCTCCATCCTCGTCTAAATTTCAAACCCCATGTATTATAGAACAACTTTTTTCTTGGCATCACATCACCAAAATATCGTCTAAATCTCAAACCCCACGTTACTTCCATTTCAAATTTTGTCATTGTTTTGTTTGGTTTAAAACCTTAAATCACTTATGCTGTATTTGGGATATGTTCAGAAACTCTCATACTTTTGTTTTGGATTTTAATACATATTCTAATATGCTACCTCGGTTAGATTCATCCTCCATCGAATGTCTACATACTATCTCAATTTTTACAGATTTGAACCACTACAAAACAACTCGTTTGGCTCTGAGAAAAACCACAATTTAGGGATAAAGTAAGTAATGCTGGTAGAGTTTCCTGTATTACTATAAACAACTTAGATCCAAAGTGATCAACCGTTTTCAAGTAAACTACAGTAGTGTCTTGAAGTATAATATATAAGGTCTAGAATTGGAACTGAAGCAGGATTAAATGAATCGCTAAGCAAGTTCGGCTTCAACAAAATAACATTATGAATGAATGATTTGCATAACTAAAGTCATCATGTGCATAACTGTGAACAGGTTATTCATAATGTTTAGACATTTTCAGAAGATCACCTAAAAAGAGATTATTCACCATACGCACAAATCTGAGAAACCATCAACACAAATTTTCAATAATGAGTTCAGCTATGAAACATCTACTTAAACAATGCATAACATCTACTTAAACAATGCATAACACCTACTTAAACAATTCAGTTAGCAAACTTACATGATCAATCCGGTCAGGAAGTGGACTACTAGAGAGCTGGGTCAAAAACAGCTGGCCAAGCTAAATTAGCAAAAATGGAAACTAATTACAGTAAGCCAAATACTGAATAACTCGAGCATAATATTCTCAAATCTCAAATGAAGACAACAAATATCACACGGAGACAAACACAAATCAAAGTTCTGACATTCTCAAACAAATTATCTGCAGATTATGATAGGTCCCAATCAGAGCTTAAAGAAAAGATAGTTTCTACTTGGAGAGAGAACTAAACACAGGTGTTTTAATTCAATAAACTCCTCCTTCACTACATTTGCAGGGGAAATGTATATAAGAAGCAAAAACTACTGTTCCTACAAAAACAGGCCACATCCCCCTAAAAGATAGGTACCAAAGATAGTGGCAGAAAAATAGCCTTAACTCCTATATTTGACTAGTTCCTAAAGCTATACGGTTACGTGGCTTATCAGATTAACTCTCAAACAACGTAACAAACAACATCTCAAATGATTAATCTTCCAAAAGAAAGAATCTGAAATTTGAATCCCTAACCTAAGAATAGAGGGTAATCGGGAGCAGAGAGATCAGGAGCGAGAGCAGAAAGGGGGCCCGAAGCCAGCAGCTGATAGCGGAGAGGAACAGCAAGTACGATTAATCGAGCTAAACGCCTGAGGGTCAATCGAAGGAGGAGCACAATAATATGTTAAAGCAAATATCCAACAATTTGGAAATCTCAACATAACAGAACTATTCAATAATCAATACTAATTACTAGTTTGTGACGATTTCAATAATCAAGATAACATAACAGAGAGAGATGAACCCTAAAAACTGAAAATGATCGAACCCTTAACGATTGACTTACCTAAAGCGACGAGATCTAAACTCTGATTTCAACAGTCGCTCACATGCTACAGATGTTCTGTTTTGGAGTCTGGAGGCAGTTCGCACAGACAATCGCAAAATCGCAGGAGATTGATTGAGTGATTGAATCTGGAGTCTGGACTTGAAAAGGGTGCCAGACTATTTAGTTATGGTTTTTATGAATAATTCAAGGCCCTGTTGGTAGGTCCATTTTTTTAAAATAAAAGTTAAATTTCTATAAATTACGGGGTGTTTGGGATTGTTTGGTGTGGTATTGATAATAAGCATTTTTAAGTGTTTGGATAAATAAGTTATACTAGTAATAATGAGTTTTTTAAGGAGTTAAACTCTTCTAACTTATGATAAATTAATAAAAGTTTTTATAGAAAAGAATAAATTGTTTCAAATAAGCAATCCCAAACACCCCACCCCTTGTATATTAAAATTTTAAGATTTTTACAAGATTTTCAAGTTATTTTATCAAAAATTTCAAATTTCTTTTAGTTTTTCAAGTTCTTTTTGAAGTTTTAATATTTTATAAAACATGTACAATGTTTGTATATAAAAAAAGATTAAGAAAATATTTAGATGGCTTAATTAGATATTTTAAAGTTTATTTTAATAAAATATTGTTTAAAAAATGAAAAACTTCAAACAAGGTTTTTCATATTGTTCAAAACTGATTTTGGAAAGAAAAAAAAGTTCGAGACCTATTTGGCTTGACCAGGGTCCAAGACGGGGACTGGTTATAAGGACCGAACCTTGTACATGGAGAACGGATCATATGTTTTTGGTAGGGACCAAAACCGGTTATCATGGGACCGGTTACGAAAAGGAAAATCTCGGATCATAACCGATTTGGACTCGGCTCAAAACTGTTAAAATGACCATATTGTCCCTAAATGTTGTCTAATGTCATTTTATAACGTATAATAGTTGTAAACGACACAAATCAACATAAATTTATCGTCCCTAAATGTTGTCTAATGTTGATTTGTATCATTTACAACTACTATGATATAAAATAATATTAAACAACATTTAGGGCAATCTGATCATTTTAACAGCTTTGCTATGCCATGTCTAGCTTACCAAACGTAAGATAGATAATTAGTCACGTCTTGTTCTAGTCGAATCAAACATGGGACGGAAAATTAGTCATGTCCAATACTGTCATGTCCCATTTGGTATGCGTACCAAACGCTACCTAAAAGAAATCTCATTCAAAATGACAACATAAGTTTATAATTGAAGAATTTACCTTTCTATGATGGTCGTGGAACCAGTACGATATAAATGTTCTGGATGGTAGCACAAATCCTTTTTGCACAAATTGGCATGGTGGTCACGATGTCACTAGAGGTGGCAAAACAAACATGCTCGATAATTGATCAAACAGATTCGAAAGAAACGACTACTTTTTTCTTTCTACTTTACGTGTTTAACC